CATTGGTGGAAATTCGCTTGTATCTAAACGTTCTTGAGTCACTGTCCAGTTGAAAATTGTATGTTACCACTGGATATGAGTACTGAAGCAGTTTTTCTGAAACCACGTGCGCCATTCAAACTGGCTGCCTTCAACGTTCGCACACTTATGCAGGTTGGACAACAGATAGGGCTGGCTATGTTTTTGGAAAGTCTTCATATCGATGTCTGCTGTCTATCCGAGACCCGTATTCAAGACTCTGGCGAAGTACTACAAATTCGATCTCCATCTGTCGCTTCGAAAAGCTTGTTTTACGTGCGCTTATCCGGGGACCCTGTGGCATCTTCGTCTGGTCTTGCTGGCGTTGGTGTCACAGTAAGCGCTAGAGCTGAGGCAGCAGTAGTCGATTGGATCCCCATTAACAGTCAGTTATGTGCTGTTAGATTAGAAAGTTCCATCAAAGTGAGAAGAAATCGGCGTGAGAAACGATGTCTTTTCGTCGTCTCCGCCTATGCCCCGACAGATTGCAGCCCGGATGCAATCAAGGATGAGTTTTACCACCAGTTATCCGTTCTTCTCCAGAAAGTGCGCTCGACAGATATTGTAGTACTAGCCGGAGACTTGAATGCTCAGGTCGGGCGTCTAGGCACAGAAGAGAGTCGTTTAGGTGGCCGATGGGGACTCGTTGGTCGCAGGTCAGATAACGGGGACCGTCTACTGCAACTGTGCACAGACCACAACCTGTTACTGGTTAGCACTAACTTTTGGCACAGTCATCGCCGATATGCCACCTGGCATCCTCCCTCTGCATCCCAAGTTTGGACTCAGATTGATCACATCGCGATCAGCTACCGCCGCTCCTTTTGGAGTACCTATCTGGACTCTGACCATGCTTTGGTCTGAGCCAAACTTACCTTACTTTTCGGTGGACAACGAAGTGACCGCCATCAAAGGATTGATATTAGCAAGCTGGTTGCAACTTCTGTTGCAAGTAAATATCGAACCGAGTTAGCCTCTAGGCTAGCTACCATTCCAATGAAAAGTATAGATGAGCATTGGTTGCAATTGCATGACGCCATGAAAATGGCGGGAACAGTTAGTTGTGGGTTCGCGAAACGTCCCGCTTATAAGCACTGGGTTTCTTCTGGTTCCTTACAACTTATTGAAGCCCGTCGGTCTACTCCGGGTGACTGTGAGTTTGACCATAAACGAGGGATGTTACGTAAGGAAATTGGGCAAAGCTTGCGTAAGGACCGAGAAGCCTGGTGGTCGGAGCGTGCTAATGAGCTGGAAGCAGCAGCTGCATCTGGTAACTACCGGAAGCTCTTCCAGCTCATCCGAGCCACTGGCAGCAAGAAGTCTGGTGTGAGTGAAACAATCTGCGAGGATGATGGGATGCCAATCACTAACATCCATCGACGTCTTGGACGATGGGCAGAATTTTTCGAAGGGCAGTTCAACTGGCCTGCTGCTCCGGCAACATCGGTCAGACTGTCCTGCCCTCCATGGCCGGTGACGACTGATCCACCAAACGAGGCGGAAGTCCGCAAGGAACTCCAACTGTTGAAGCGTTACAAATCACCTGGCCCAGATGACTTACCTCCGGCTCTTTTCAAAGATGGTGGTGACTTTCTGACTAAGGAATTGACGGCGTTGTTTTCAAAGGTTTGGGAATTAGAGAGTGTACCAACGTCATGGAATGAGTCGATAGTTGTCCCTATCTTTAAAAAGGGTTCACGTCGTTCCTGCAACAACTATCGGGGGATAAGCCTACTTCCGATTGCGTCCAAGCTATTAGCTTCCGTCATACTTCGTAGGTTGTTCAAAACCCGAGAAAGATTGACTCGTGAGGAGCAGGCTGGCTTTCGTTCTGGTCGAGGATGTATTGATCATATCTTCACCCTCCGACAAATGTTAGAACACCGCCATACTTATCAAAGGCCAACAATCGTAGTGTTTCTTGACATCAGGGTTGCCTTCGATTCGTTGGACAGGACTGTTCTCTGGGATTGTCTATTGAAGAAGGGTGTGTCTGAGAAGTTTATTAACATCCTAAAGGCCCTATATAAAAACACCTCAGGCAGAGTGAGGGCATACAACCACCTCTCTCCATTGTTCTATACGAGTAGTGGGGTTAGGCAGGGTTGCCCAATCTCACCATTCCTCTTCAACTTTGCCATCGATGACATTCTGGAAACAGCTCTGATGAATGTAAGTAATGGTGGTGTGGATCTGTTGCCTGGAGAAAGACTTCTCGACCTTGAGTATGCTGATGATATTGTCTTACTGTGCGATAATGCCCAAGGCATGCAATCCGCACTTAATCAGTTGGCAATCAGTGTCCGTAGGTATGGTATGTGCTTTGCACCTTCGAAGTGCAAAGTACTTCTACAAGACTAGCAGGATTCCAATCCTGTACTCACCCTGGATGGTGAGCAGATAAAGTAGTCAAGAAGTTCGTGTATCTGGGTAGCTGCATAAGTGCTGGTGGGGGTGTGAGTGATGAGATCAATGCACATATAGTGAAAGCCAGAGCGGCTTATGCCAATCTGGGCCATCTTTGGCGCCTTCGTGATGTTAGTCTGGCTGTAAAAGGTCGGCTCTACAACCCGTCGGTGAGAGCAGTTTTGCTCTATGCTTGTGAAACCTGGCCTCTCCGAGTTGAGGACGTTAGACGACTCTCTGTGTTCGATCATCGCTATCTCCGAAGGATTGCTGACATCCGGTGGCAACACCATGTAATACAGAGGTTCAGCATCGTGTGTTTGGGCACAGAGACGATAATGCGATTGGTGTCACCACCTTGAAACACCAACTTCGGTGGCTTGGACATGTTCTACGAATGTCGTCCCAGAGAACTCCTCGTCGTGCATTGTTTTGCCGACTCTGGGACTGGTTGGAAAAAGCGGAGAGGTGGTCAGTGCATGACATGGTGTCGTGATATGAAAGAAAGCTGCAAAGGACTGGCTTCTGTCGGTCCTTCACGACTCCCTGGCTGGGGTCCGAGAGATGGTACTGCACAGTGGCTAGAGACGTTATCAGATATGGCTCAGAATAGAAACCAGTGGCGATCCTGCTGTAACCTTCTTTAACTTTCTTCATAAAAAGTAGTTGTGTCTCCCTTAACTGAAAGATTTCTTCTGATTGTACCTTTCTGTTCGACCATTTTTACCATTATTATTATTACACCACCTTACATCAATCTCTTTTTTGTTCTCCTTCCCCTTAAATTTTCATTGTTTTGTGTGGCGTATTCTTGTACCAATATTTATGTGTTCAAATAATAAATAAATAAATAAAATCTCTATGATATTGAATGTAGGTCACAAATAAAAGGTGATTAGTATTGATTCTCACATGCATAAACAAAAGAAACTTATCCCAATATCGATTTTTTTTTTCGATAAACATATTTGATTGTACTAACCTTATCTCTATGAAGATACAATTAAATAAACAAAATTGTACTAAACCTTATACAATCCAAATACGGAGATAATTTGCACTTAGATTATTGTTTTGTACAGATTTATCATTTAAGATTATTGTCAGTCATAATGAAAAAAAACCCAGTAAATCTCAAAGTGCATAAAATTAGTCATAAACAATCCGAAATGTTTATCAGTATGGAATTGTGTGGAAATTTTTCAAGTTTTTGATCGAGATCATAAATTGATCAGTGTAAGACTACTAATAAGAACCTAGAAGCATTGGATGGATGTGTTGTCCCATTATAAGAATCTTCAACAATGTGCAATTACGATCCCGCACACGAAATTTGAACCCAGGACCTCCGATTTTGCGCACAAACACTGAGCTGGTCGACATCCAATGGTGTTAATGTCAAACTTCAACCAATGCAAGAAATTACGCAGTCATCTTAGATTGTCTAAGGTAGATACTTGTATCTACCTGACTCAGATTAGCTCCACTGGTCAAGGCTTCTCACTAGAACTCAGAGAATCACCTCATGAAGCTAGTCATTAGTGAGCATATGGCAATTATGAGTATAGGGTTATGGAAATGGTTCCGTTTTTGATCGAGATCATGAACTGATTGATGTTAGACCACCATTGAAAATCTGGAAGCACTGGATGACTGTTTTGTCCTATAGTGGGACTTCTCAGTGGTGTGTATCCACGATCCTGCCTCACAGGATTCGAACCCAGGACCTATCGGTCTCGCACTGAGCTGGCCGTCATCTGATAGTGTTAATGTATAACGTCAATTAATCCACGAAATTGAGTGGCACGAAACGGCCGTTCAATGCTTCCAAGTTTTCTATGGTGGTCCAGCTTCGATTGACTCATGATCTCAACTTTTAAATCAATTGCCACATTATAGGTGGTCTGTAAAACCACGTTGATAAGTGTCAACTAGCACAAAACTTATAAGCCAAACAGAATTCCTGATATATTGCCCCCAAAAGCCATGCTAGTGAACATAAACATTTTATGTTACTAAAATCTTAAGGAATAATGGACAATTTTAAATTGTCTATAGGAGGTGTTCAGGAGAAAACTCAGCTAGACCTAGTTTTCATTCTTGTTAATACTCTACAGTAAAGCAAAACAGTAATCTTTAAGGTACTTTTGTTGTACTTGGAACATTGACTTATGTCAACCGCCCACACAAACTGATAAAAAAGTTTGATGGTGACAGTGGAAGTGTAGTGAACTCAAACTTACATGGGGGGAACCAATTTATTGATTAATATAAAATTACAGAGTATCTTCTTAAACTATGAAAACCATACACCAACTACTTCATTTGTACATCTTCCCATCAGTTTGTCCTTTACAACCCTCCGATTCTCAATTCCTTTATGTTTCCCTTTCTGTTTTATTCAGTTTAATCTTCTTAACCTTCTTTTGATCGGTGTTACATACTACTTATATCTGTAAATATAAGTAGCATTCACCATGGTTGTAATATTGATTTAGTCGGTAAGAAATAATTCAACATATATATATATATATATATATATATATATATATATATATATAAACAAGCTAACTTACTTCAGCGAAAGCAGAATGTCTTGGTGGTACTGTAATACGTGTATCTACACCCCATGCAAGTTCTTCTTCAGTTGATTGTCTTGTTGATGATCCAATTGAAATTTCATGTTTAAATCCAGCATTGGCTTCCATAATTGAATTAGGTAACTAAAATGATCAAATTATAAACAGAATGTCAATAAATGATCCAAGCATAAAGTTTATTCAAATGAAGTATTTCAGATGGATTTTGTCAATACAACTAATGTTATATAATGCCATCTATTATAATAGAAATAAAATAGGATATCTGTTATGTAATAAATGATATTTACACAATCGGTGTTCATATTGACTTTTGTGAGAATATAATATTTAGAAACTAAGTTTGAGTTTTGTCGTTTAAACTTTTTTGGTTATCAAAAGAGGTGTTGTGGAGATTTTAGATATTTCAATAGTTTAAATCATGAATCAATTAAAGATAGACCACCATGGAAAACCTGGAAGCACTAGACGGCCGTTTCGTCCTAATATGGGACTCCTCAGCAGTGCTCTTACACTATCGCCCCCCCCACAAGATTCCAACTTAGGACAATGTTGGACGTGTCACTCAATTTCGTGGATTGTTTGAAGTTAAACATTATTAACATTGAATGCCAGATCAGTAGTCTCAAGGTAAAGCTTTCAAGTGCGAGACGGATAGGTCTTGGGTTCGAATCTCGCAGGGGACGGGATCGTAGATGTGTGTTGCTGAGGAGTTCTATATTAGGACGAACTGGCCGTCCAGTGCTTTCAAGCTTTCCATGGTGGTCTAGCTTCAATTAACTCATGATTTTAACTATTTGAATAGTTTAATATACATCACTTACCAGAACACTTGAGTGCTCTAATTCTGAAGAAAAGTTGAGTTTTAAAAATCTTGAGCTATTTTTTTCACTCAGATTTTAAGCGCTGATCTATAATCCAGTCAATCTTGAGGCTCTTCTAATAAATTTGTTTCAATAAAAGACAAGAAGTAAGGTGAGGCGGGTTTATCTTCTGTCAATAATACTTATAATTAAGCTCCATTAATTGATTTATCTCTGCCTTGGTACGGCCGAGAGTGGGAAGAGTCAGATCACTATTTTCAAATGCTCTCACATGGCCACGTGCATTCAACTACTGACAGGGAAGTCCTAATCACTACCTTTTCACGGAGGGATGTGGTTTACGAAATTGAAAAGACGAAAAGAGAATGTCCGACGTATTAACCAGGTTGATGGATATGAAGGATCTACCTTGGGAAGTTCAAAATACCTGATTCTAAACCAATGGTGTACATGGGCTCCACGATCCTGAGGGAAAAAATGGCGTATTAAAAAATTACTAGTCACCGACTACCACATGAGCAGCATATTTACAACTTAAGGACATCTGGAACTCAAAGCAACTGTCTGTCAACCAACACCAAAGTCAGCATCTTCAATACAAATGTCAAGACAGGTCTACTGTATGGGCAGAAACTTGAACAACAACGAAAGATATCATCCAGAAGATACAGGTGTTTATTAACAGTTTTCTACACAAAATACTTCAGATTCGTTGGCCAGATACTATTAGCAACATTTTACTGTAGGAGATAACAAACCAGATCCCAGTAGAAAAAGAAATCAGGAAGAAGCGCTGAAAGTGGATAGGATACACATTGAGGAAAACACCTAGTTGTGTCACAGGGCAAGCCTTCATATGGAATCCTCAATGCCAAAGGAAAAGAGGAAGACCAAAGAACACATTACGCCGGAAAATGGAAATCGACGTGAGAAAAATGAACAAGAATTGGATAGAACTAGAAAAGAAGGCCCAGGACAGAGTAAGTTGGAGAATGCTGGTCTGCGGCTTATTCTCCATTAGGAGTAACAGGCGTAAGTAACTAAGTAATTAAGACTCACAGGATCGCATCTTATGACGTTGCTCCACTTCCTTAAAGATCGGACTTTTAGGTCGAAGGCTCCACGTGTGGCCTCCTAAGGAAACCACCCTCGTCGGTTTGAACACTCAGGTAGTATTCTAGCTCTCATACAAATTGAATGTGGCACATATCTATTTGATATCTCTTTCTATTAATGTTTATGTGTTTAAAATAAAATAAATCTAATAAGTGAATAGACATTCTCAAGGTCATTTTAGCGTCATTCAAAGGTCGTTCATAGAATGATAATCTTATCGTTTATTATCATAATACTCATGTAGTTTGATTTGACAATAATCCAGTATAGAATGATTCATTTTAAATATTAAAACAAAATAGAATTAATGTATTTTGGTCATTTGTTTACTCAACAACAACAACAACAACAAAACTCATCAGTTCAAAGTCTAATTTATTTATAATTGAATAAATGAATAAGTTTTATGAATTGATTAAAGTTAGAGAGATTATCATAGAAAAAAAAACATGGAAGTACTGAATGATCATTTCGTTCTTGTATGTACTTACTAGTAACTGACTTTATAAGGTATTTCCTGAAGTTCTAGTGAGTAGTACTGAATGGTCGTTTCGTTCTTGTATGTACTTACTAGTAACTGACTTTATAAAGTATTTCCTGAAGTTCTAGTGAGTAATACTGAATGGTCGTTTCGTTCTTGTATGTACTTACTAGTAACTGACTTTATAAAGTATTTCCTGAAGTTCTAGTGAGTAGTCGTGTCTGTTATAGAGGCAGTTAATCACTGAAGACAATGATTGATGATTGTGTAATATCGTGGATTAATTGAAGTTAGACATTAACACTGAAAGTTCTGGGTTCGTATCCTGCGTGTGGGATCTTGGGCATACACTGTTAAGAAATCCCATACTATGACGAAACGGCCATAGAATACTCTCAGGTGACCGGAGGTCTTGAGTTTGAGTCCCACTTGCGGAATCGTGGATTTTCACTTCCGAGGAGTCCCACACTAGGACGAAACGGTTGTCTATAGCACTCTAGTTTTAACCAACTCATGAATTCAACTATAATAAATGATTACAATCTTCATAAAACCGCCATTCTTTTAAGATAAATCATTGCATAGATATATACTCAATCGATACTTCAAAAAGAGTAGACATTAAGTTGTTTTAATTAACCTTCAGTCATAAAATACATCTCATTATTTATTTATTTATCTATCTATCTATCCATCCATATCTATATCCATTTATAATACCTCTGTAATTCACTATGACGACGGATAAGCACAAAGAGATTAAGTCTTCTGTCCGTTACTATAGTTACGTCAACTGTTCTCATTTGCATAAAATCAATCTCCATTGATTAGTAAAATTTTGTTTTTTTTTCTAAATTTGAATTTTCAAACGATTAAAGTTATTATGTAAGACAAACAATATAATCCATATTATGTATGTATATGAACTAGTGAATGTCACAAGGCAAGCCCTCATTTGGAATCCTCAAGGCTAATGGAGAAATAGGAGACCAGGAAGATTAAAGAACTCAATACTCTGAGAAATGGCGAGAGAGAGAGTGAGAGAGATAGAGACATGAGAAGAATGAACAACATTTGGATATAACTAGAAAAGAAAGCTCAGGATAGAGTGGGTTGGAAAATGCTTGTCACCTAGTGATTGACTGGATGATGAAGCTGTTAACATCTGAGGGGAAGCATGGGATACAGTGGACAACTAGGATGCAAAAGGATGATCTACACTTCGCAGTCGATCTGGCTCTTCCATCGCACACGCAGCAACAAAATGCAGGAAACGACCAGTGTAGCAGCAGCCTCAACAGAACTAGGTCTCAATTTACACAAAAGGAAAAGCAAGTTTCTCCGATACAACACAGCATGCACCAATCGAATCACACTTGACGGAGAAGACTTGGAAGATGTAATAACCTTTACATATATAGGCAGTATCATTGATGTACACGGTGGATCTGATGCAGATGTAAAGGCATGGACCGACAAAGCAAGAGCAGCATATTTACAACTGAAGAACATCTGGAACTCAAAACAACTGTCTGTCAACCAACAACAAATTCAGCACCTTCAATACAAATGTCAAGACATTTCTACTGTATGGAGCGGAAACTTGGAGAAAAACGAAAGCCATCGTCCAGAAGTTATAGGTGTTTATTAACAGCTGTCTACACAAAATACTTCAGATCCGTTGGCCAGACATTATCAGTAACAGCCCATTATGGGAGAGAACAAACGAGATTCCAACGGAGGAAGAAATCAGGAAGAAGCGCTGGAAGTGGACAGGACACATATTGAGGAAAACACCCACAATGCAAGCCCTCGCTTATAATCTTGAACGCCAAAGGAGAATAGGAAAACCAAAGAACACATTACTTCCAGAAATGGAGACAGAAATGAGAAGATTGAACAAAAATTTGATAGAACTAGAAAGGAAGGCTCAGGACAGAGTGATTTGTAAAATTGTGGTCGGTAGCCTATGCTCTATTTGGAGTAACAGCCGTAAGTAAGTAAATGAGTATGTATTAATACTGAATTCACGCCGATTGAGACTCCTGAACTATACCAATAACAAATGTGTATTGCTATACTCTCAAATTATTCATTTAAAGTTAATAAAAGTTCATAGTCGTTCAATATTTGTTTCAATTCATTTGGCATACTTAACATATTTCTCAAGCTTATGGAATAAGATTTTTCAGATAACTTCGTTCATAGGAACTAAGAACAACATCATTTCCAGTTAAACAATCAACTAAAGTAAATACTGTTTATCTTAGCGATTGGATAATCACTGAAATCTAGGTAAGACTGAAAAGTTATCTTTCTCTTTCATATGGAACTCAACAGAAATGAACATATACGACACTATATCTAGGAATCGAACTCAAGACCATTGAGCTCGCGTCCAAACGGTGTTAATTTCTAACTTTCATCAATTCGATTAATTGCTTAAACATCACCGTTTGGATAACTATCTAACATATTCAACAAGATTAGGTCGTGAATAAGCACTACTGAATAATTTCAAACTAGTAGAAAATATTCGTTCAGTACCTCCAGGTTTCTAATGATAGTCAAACTAACATCAATTCGTGATTATGTAATAACTTAAGCCCGTAAAGGAAAAAACGCTGAGCAAACCCTTTTTCCCTTGTTTACATTTGTTCCGTAAACCATTGATCTAAGTTGTTCTTTTTAAAGTATACACT